ATTTTTCTAATTTATTTTAATATTTTTCTAATTTATTTTCAATATTTAATAAAATGACAAGTGTGTCGACTTTAAGGCGCGTTTAAAAAATAATGATAAATGCAATGATTTAGTTTAAAGACGAGAAAATTGCTATTTATAGAAACAAGAATTATTTGTAAATATAATGAACATAATTTTTTCTTTTTTCATGTGTGAGAAAACTAATTAAACGCAATTATTATATATTTTGCGTTTAAATAATTATTATAACAACGAAATCGGAATGAAAAGTTCTACTCGCAATTTTTTTTTTTAGAAAATCGTAATTAGAATTTGTATCTAATATTTAATTTAAAAAAATATAGTAATAATATTCTAAGAAAAAAAAATTAATCAAATAACCGATTACTTGTCTATTATCAAATAAATATTTACTTAAATCAAATAATTTTTATTTGAGCCAATTTAATCGTATTTGCTTCAAATACTAAAATTTAAATATTCAATTTAATTCAAGTACAATTTAATTGACTTAAATATAAAAATTATTTGATTCAAATAAATATTTATTTGGTAATAGACAAGAAATCGAATATTTAATAAAAAATAAAATAAATAAAAATAAATAAAAAAAAAAATTTTTTTCAATGTAATAATAATAATAATAAATATTAAAAGAATAATAATAAATAATAATAAAAATAATATTTACACATTCATTTATTGAATTTCGAAATAAAAAGAAATTCGACGTATTTAATTTTTTTTTCATTCCTTCAAAAATTCGGTTTTCTCTCATTTTTTAAATCAACATCTTGTTATTTATTTTTACCGAAAAATTATTCCAATATTACATAAGAATGACCTTTATCAATTTTTGTCATCTTTTTTTTCTAAAGATTCACAACACAATTTTAATTGAGAAAAAATCATTTATTAAAATAAGTAGAACTTTTTTTTTAAGTGAAAGTCTTCCGCCTTTACTTTCTTCGTTTACTTGGACATTTATATATGTATAACAAGTATAATTTGGAATTCCCAAATAAATAATAAAATTTAAACGATCTTTAAATATACGCATAAAATTATGGTGAATTTGAAAAAATTATTATAATTATAATATTAATAATAATAACAATAATAATAATAATAATAATAATAATAACAACAATAATAATTGTTATCTATTGAGATTGTTCACTTCTTTCACCTTGGATGAATAAGTTTAATAATATTGATACCTATAATTTTAATTAATAATTGAACTTTAATTAATAATAATTAATTAATATTAATTGAATTTTAATTAATAATTAATAATATTAATTTTTTGGCGAAATTATAAAATTTTATTTAATGGAAGGTAGAAAAAAATTAATAATAATGAATAATAATAATAAATAAAAAATTTATTTGGAAGAAAATTTTCTACTAATTCTAAATAATCATTATTGTTATTACTAATATTATTATTATTACAATTATTATTTTTTATTATTTTTATTATTATTATTAGAATTACTATATTATTAATAATAGTTTTTACTTGCATTTATTACAATTATTATTATTATTATCTTACACTGCAGGTAAAAATGTTATAAAAAAATAGATAAATAAAATTGACAGGGAGACTTGTTATAAAAAACAGTTAAATTTTTTTCTTTCAAATTCAAAGAGAAAGGGTAAATAGAGGGGGCAAGGGGCAAAATTCAAAAAGTGTGGGGGAAGACAAATTTAATGATGAAAAAACTAAAATTTTAATTTAGTACATTCTCAATATTTAAAGTAGATAAATATTTGAATTTATTCTCTCTATAGAATTTTCTTCTCCATAATACAAATGAGGTAAAAACTCTATATCAAGATATCGCTTCAATATCAGAGAAACTTTCACTCACGATCAAAACTTTTAATTTTCGTTTAATAAAACACTATTCCCGTTGATTTTTTTCTTTTTTAAAAATATTTTCCTTTTTCAAAATAAATTCTCCCAATAAAATCCTCAAATATCGAAAATAATTTTTATTATCAATAATATTACCTACTAAAAAAAATAGTGAATAATCAGATTTTTAATTCACGTTAAAAATTATTTTTTTGTTAAAAAGAAACAAAAAATTATTTTTTCGTTAAAAGAAACAAAAAATTATTTTTTCGTTAAAAAGAAACAAAAAATTATTTTTTCGCTAAAAAGAAACAAAAAAATTACTTTTTCCTTTAAACAAATCATAGTTTTGTCTCTATTTAAAACAAAAAAATAAATTTTTCCAATAAAAAAAATAGAAAAATTATTTTTTCAGTTAAAAAACAAAAAAATAATTATTTATTAAAAGAAAATTATAATTTTTTTTTATTAAAAGCAAAAGAAATAATTTTCCCCACTAAAAAAAAGATGAATAATAAATTTTTCTTTAAAAGAAAATTATAATTCTTTGTATTAAAAACAAAAAAATAATTTTTTCCGTTAAGAAAAACAGAAAAATAATGTTTTCACCTTTAAAAACACAAAAAAAAACAAAAACTTGATTTTAAAATTTAAGAAATTGAGAAAGTTTTCAGAAAATATTTCATACTTTCTTTGCTAATACATAACTAAATTTTATATTTTGTAAATTAATTTACAATTAAACATTTTTTTGAATTACATAATTGATAATTTACGAAAAAAATTTAATGCTCATCAATTATTCCTATTCGTAAATTTAATTAAGAAAAAAATAACTCAGAATTTGAATAATTAATTATTATTTTAATTATATTCGCGAATAATTTTAAGAAAATGAATTAACAATTAATTTGTTATTCATAAATTGTCAATAAGATTTGCAATTCTATTAAAGAAACGAAATTTTTTTTTAAAAAATTCAGAATATTAATTGTTTACAAATTAAGTACTAACAATTTTTGGAAATATTATTCATTTACAAAAATTAATTAGTAAATAATTTAAAATATTTATAATTTACAAATTAATTAGTAAAAAAAATTCAAAATATTTATCATTTACAAATTAATTTGTAAAAGATTCAAAAATATTAATCATTTACAAATTAATTAGTAACAAATCTAAATTATTTATAATTTGCAAATTAATTGCAAAAAAATTCAAAATATTTATTACTTACAAATTAATTTGTAAAAACTTCAAAAATATTAATCATTTACAAATTAATTAGTAACAAATCCAAAATATTCATAATTTACAAATTAATTAATAAAAAAATTCAAAATAATAATCATTTTAAAAATTAAAATTAATAAATAATAATATTAATAAATAAAATTTTAATTAACAACCACGATTTAATTAAAAAATTTTTTTTTAATTTATTTAATAAATCAAAAGTTGTTAACAAGGTGTTGAATTGTTTAGCAATTAATTTAGAAATAACAAACAATTGCAGACAATAGTTAAACAACAATTTACCGAATAAACAATCAGTTCGATTTTAATAAACAGTAAATAAAAATAAATTATAATTTTTCGTTTATGGTTTCAATTTCCCTATAAATTAATTTAAAAATAGAACAAATTGATCGGCGATCGAAAATTTGCGATATTTGTAAAAAAAAATTATGTTGCTGTCAATATTAATAAAAAAATAGTTTAGTTAATATTTTTTTCGTGATTTTCATAAAAAATATGAAGAGTAAATCACACAAACTCTTTATTAATTATTATAGAAAATAATTAATTTTTATTAATTACCTATTATTTATAGAAAATAATTCATTATTCTAGAGAATAATTTATTTTTATTAATTATTATAGATAATAATAAATTTTTATTAATTGTTATGAAAAAAATCCATTTTTATTAATTATTATAGATAATAATAAATTTTTATTAATTGTTATGAAAAAAAATCCATCTCTATTAATTATTATATAGAAAATAATTAATTATTATAGTAAAAATTAATTATTATAGATAATAATTAATTTTTACTATTTTTTATAGAAAAGAATGTATTTTTATTAATTATTATAGAAAATAATTCATTATTATAGAGAATAATTAATATTTATTAATCTTTATGGGAAAAAATCCATTTTTATTAATGATTATTGAAAAAATTCATTATTAGAGAGAATAAAGAATAATTATTAATTGTTATAGAAAATAATGAATTTTTATTTATTCTTATAGAAAATAATTCATTATTATAGAGAAAAATTAATTTTTATTAATTGTTATGGAAAAAAATCCATTTTTAAAAATTATTATTGAAAATAATTCATTATTATTAATTGCTATAAAAAATAATTCATTTTTAAAAATTATTATAGAAAATAATTCATTTTTAAAAATTGTTATTAAAATTAATTAATTATTTTAGAGAAAAATTAATTATTATACAGAATAATTATTTATTATTAACTGTCATAAAAAATAATTAATTATTATAGAAAATAAGGCTTTTTTATTAATTATTATTGAAAATAATTAATTAATACAGAGAATAATGAATGATTTTAGAGAATAATTAATAATTATAAAGAAAAATGAATGATTATTAATTATTATAGAGAATAAAGAATTATTATCAATAATTATAGAAAATAATGAGAAATTATTATTTGTTTTGACTTACCTGGAACTGGAGTGAAGTAAATAATGGTGGCAACAACGGAACTGAGTCCAACGAAAATTGCGAGTCTCAATAACATGTTATTTTTTTGAACGAATTTTCCGGGGATTTTTTTCCGCTGGATAATTGGATTTTTTTTCCTGTTTCTCCTGCGCTCACCTTGATTGAAAGTTTTAAAGCGCTTAATGTCTGGAAAGAACTTAGCAGTATCGTAGTCGCGAACACACTACTTCTTCATTGAGGCAAGTTCATTGCCAGGCTGAGAAACAGAGACAGAAAGGGAAAGAAAGAGAGAGTTGCCCGCTTGATCAAGGAAGAAAGGTATCTTATGTATCACTTTATAGGCACACAAGACTCTTCTCTTTCTCTCTTTTTAAAACGATACTGCAAATATCTTTTGCATGTGTATAGAAATTATGTGAGCAAAAGTCGATTCAAAAGTTCTTCCTCTTTAAATGTCAAACGTCTTCCTATATATCGCAAACACTTCTCTTTCTTCTTCTTCTTCAATTTTCTCTTCATCTTCATCAAAACACGTTGAGATTTCTCCTTGAAAAAAATTCGAAAAATAAAATCAGACTAATTTTATTAATTAAATCGATTTTCTTTTTGGAAATTAGCAAAAATTTCGAAAAAGCAAAAAAGACAGTTTGTTTCAATTTTATTAATAAAATTGATTTTCTTTTTGAAAATTTGCAAAAATTTCGAAAAAGACCCTTTTTTCACAATTTTATTAATAAAATCGAATTTCTTTTTGGAAATTTGAATAAATAAATTAACGACAGTATTTATACTTACTTTAGAATTTCTCACTTTTTTCCTGAAAAACTCTTTTTTCCCGGTCGAACTACACTTGAAAAATGTAAATTGCACCAAATTTTCGATTCTTTAGATCAAAATGTCCGAATTGAGCAGAGGGGGATCGAATTTCACAAACAGGAGTGAAATCAACAAACCAATTCTTGAACGGAAGCCTAAAAAAAATGTCGAAATAATTAATAATAATTTACTGGAATTTTTTTTTTATTTACAAAATTTGTTTCTCTTTATTTACAATCATTTTTTTAATAGTCACCAACAAAATAACAATTTTTGAAACATTCAAACAATTATTTACAATTGTTCCAAAATGTTTGAAAATTAATTTTCTCTCCGATCTCCAAGTTCAGAAAAAAAAAAAAAAAACCCTTAAAGTTCGATACCATTTCATAATTAACAACAACCACAAGAAACGTAACCGAGAGAGAGAGACAAAAGAAAAGAAAATATTATCATCTGCCTGCGGTTTCGAATCTCGAGATAAACGAGAGCGAATTGATAATATCGTATTCAGAAATTCGTAAAATCTCACTTTCACCGGCAAAATACTTGTTTTTTTTTCTCTCTCGAATTTTTTCGATTTTTTGTCCTTTTGATGCGTTTGAAATTTAAAAGTTAATTTAATGATCTATTTTTATTTCAAATTTCAACTTTCTCTCTCGGGGAATTTTTATTTCGACGAAATCAGAATTCGAATCTTTTTTTTCTCTTATTTTTTGTGTTGGAATTCTTTTTTCAAATGGAAAATTTATTTTTAATGAAAACTCTCTCTCTCTCTTTTTGATTCTGTGCAAAAATTTTTTTAACAACTTTTTTGCAAAAAAAATATATTGAAAAGCGTCGAGAGTGAATTTTTGACTTTTTGTATTTTAGTCAAATACTTATAGAATTAAATTATATGTACAAACTGTTGAATATTTTTTTTAAGTCAATAATTGAAATAAAATAATAAAAATAATAAAAATAATAAGAATAATATTAATAATAATATTAATAATATTAATTAATAAGAATAATAGTAAAGAAAATCAAAAATGAAATGTCACAAATAAATAATATTGAAATAAAATGTTTCCTTTTCAGGCCTCGGATCGATTTTAAAGAAACAAAAAAATTCGTTTCAGTCGATTCGAAGTATAAAAAAGTCGAAAAAGTCTCTTTTTTTTATTCACAATTGTCACAAATAATTAATATTCTATTTCTTCATTTTTGAAAAATTTTTCAACCTTTTTCTTTTATTGCATTAATTATTTCAATTCTAAGTTTCTGTTAAATTCAATTATTTTCAAATAACTTTTTGACAAGATTTCTTCAAAAATTACGATTACTTTTAATAACAATTGTAATCAATTTTTTTTAAGCATAAAATTTCTTACAATAATAAAAATTCAATTATTTGGAAAAATTACAAATATATATATAAATAATTGAAAGAAAAATAATTGAATTTCAGCATAATTATTCTAAAATTTAATTATTTTATAGAATTTTTGAATAAATTTACTGGAAAGTTAGGAAAATCTCTGATTTTTCCTAAAAAAGTAAAGAGAATTCTCTTAAAGTCAAAATTCAAAATATGTAAAAACTAAAAAATTGTTTAACTAAAAAATAAATTTTGAAAACTATTTTTAAACTAAATTTTAAATTTCTTAATTTACTATCCGAGGCCTGCTTTTTTGAATTTTAATTTATTCAAAAGCAAACTTCAATATTTACCAATAAAAATTAATTAAATTTTTTTTACTTTTATTGAATTTTTCGCCAAATTTGTAAATTTATTCGAAAAGACGAAAGTGAAAAATTGAAATTGAAAATTAAAATTGAATTAAAGAAATTGAAAATTGAATTAAAGGAAGAAAAAATTAAAGAAGAAATTTAATAACCGAATTTTTCATTAAGTGAAGTTTTACCGTCTCCACTTTGTCCTTGTGGTGGCACCCAAGTGCAGTAATCTTCCTTATACTCCTCGTCCTCATAACTTTTTATCTTCTCCTTTTCCGCCTTTAAAGCACGCTGTTGAATTCGCTTCATATTCCTCTTCTTTTTCTTCAAAACTTCCTCCGTATTCTTTTCATGTAAACTTTCATTCTCTACCATTTCTTCCTCAACAATTATTTCTTTCTTACTTTTTTTCTCAATTTCTCCACAATTAATGTCCTTTTCACTTTTCTCATCATTGCCATCACATTTTTTATCATCACTCGCTTCCATCATTTCCACACAATCTTCCTCAGATTTATTTTCCAAAAGTTCTTTTCCACTTGTGGAATATTTCTCATTTTTAGTCTCAAATTCCTTGTTGGATTTTTTCACTTTTTTCTGAAAAACAGTTGAAATAATATTTTATATTAATTTAAAAATATTTAAAAATAAATTTTTTTGCAAAAATTCATTTAATATTAATAACAAAAGGAATAAATACTTAAAAAATATTATAAAAAATTCAAAAAAATACTGAATTCGACAATATGTACTTACTTCTAATTTTGGAGAATTATCGAATGATTTCCGTTTAGTTGGCAAAGATTCGACAACGCATTTTGATGTTTGTGGTTTCAATAATGCCGGTAAATTCGCTGGTCTTGAAATATCGATTAATTTCATAAGTTGCGCTTCTTCTTTTCGCAATTTTTGCAAATCCATTTTCAATTTTATTTTTTCACTTTTATTCAAAATTGCTTTACTCTTTAATTGGGACATAAAAGCATCCAATGCGTCGACACTCGAATTTTCCTCCATATTTTCATTCTCCTGCGATTGCTTCAAACGTTTCTCAATATTTTCTATTTCCTTCATGACTTCAGTATATTTTTCCGTCTGTAATCAAATTATTTTTTTTTAAACAAAGTTAGACTTATTATTTTAATAATTAAATTAAACTCATTATTTTAATAATTAAATTAAACTTATTATTATTAATTAAACTAATCTTCAATAAGTTTTATTTAATTTAATTAATAATAATAAGAGATTATAGTAATAATTAATATTTAATTTAAATTAAACTATTTCTTATTCTTTATATTTTTTATTTTTCTAAAATAAAAGAAAAAAATTGAAAGAATTTATAAAGTGGTAAAATTTACCAATGAATTGTAAGTTTCTGCTTTTGAATTCAATTTGCCAGCGTTTTTCATTCTTTGCTCCCGCTTTTTCTCCACTGTTCCAGTTCGATCGAGGAAATTATCCTCATCTGAGTCGTAAAAATCTTGTTCCTCCCAGTTACGGGCTTTTTTCTTTTTACTTTCTGAAATTAGTTGAAAAGCATTAATTAATTAATTAATTAATTAAAATTTAACATTTTTGGAAAAAGAGAAAATTCTTTCATACCATGAACAGCTTGTCTCAAGAGTCCGTGTCTATCTAAAATTCTGCAAGCTTCAAGTGCACACTGAACAACGGCCTCTTTCTTTTTTCCCTTAACACAAGCTTCTGCCTTCACTGATCTCCCCACGTAATCTTCTAATGGTAATCTAAAGAATAAGGACAAATTATTAATTAAATATTAATCCAAAACACTTCACATTTTTCATAAATAAAACTTTGAGAAGTTTTTTTTATAAAAAACCAAGTGATAAAATCAAAAATTTCCCTAAATATTTCTGTTTCAATAAATAATTCATTCAAAAATAAATCCATTCTATGCAGTAAATAAAATTTATTCAACTTAATAAATTATTCTATGCGCTAATAATTTCATGTTAAAAATTAAGAAAAATTATTTACTTAATTTAAAAAGTAAAATTATTTACTCAATTCAAAAAGTAAAATTATTTACTCAATTTAAAAAGTAAAATTATTTACTTCGTTTTTTTAAATAATTTAATAACTTTTTTTAATTAAATACTAAAATTATTAAAAAACATATTTTCAATTCTGTTTATAGAATAAGTTATTAGTTTATTTTACTCACTCGACCCAACAAGTGAAACGTCCAATTCCATTTTCGTCGGCCTGATATTGTAAATCGTGCCCCTCACGTTCGAACCAACCGCGCAAAGTTTTCTTCGGATCCTCTAAAAATAAATCCTCGTTATTTGTTTGCGCGTAAGGATTTTCCTTTAAATCCGTCTCTTCGTCCGCATCCTCCGACATTCCCCAATTTACTCCCTCCTTCTCTTCTTTTTCAATTCGCAATTTCTCCGCTAATTCCTCCTCCTTCTTTCGCTCAAATTCCATTTTCTCTCGCTCCTCCATTTCAATTCTACGTTTTTCCTGCAAAATAACCAATTTTTAAAAAAAATTTATTAAACATAAAACATTAATAATTATTTAATTAAAATCAATCCGACCTCAGGGTTCAAAAATAACTAAGTTAAATCAAAAAAAGAAAAAAAATTGAATTATAAAAATTAACGATTTTTTGAAAATTTTAGAAAAGTAGCTTTTTTACCAAAGGGTGGAGACTATTAAATAAGTAAAGTATTTTCCGAGAGCACAAAAATAATAAAGCTAAATCCCATAAAAAAGAGAAAAAAATGTTGAATTTTAAGAAATTCGGATTTTTGAATTTTTTCGAATTTTTGATAATTTTAGATTTTTTACCAAAATGTCGAGACTATTAAATAAGTAAAGTATTTTACAAAAGCACAAAAACAATGAAGCTACATGCCATAAAAGAGAGGAAAAAATGATGAATTTTAAGAAATTCGGATTTTTGAATTTTTGATAATTTTCGATAATTTTAGATTTTTTACCAAAGAGTCGAGACTATTTAATAAGTAAAGTATTTTCTAAAAGCACAAAAATAATAAAGCTAAATTCCATAAAAGAGAGAAAAAAATGATGAATTTTAAGAAATTCGGATTTTTGAATTTTTGATAATTTTCGATAATTTTAGATTTTTTACCAAAGAGTCGAGACTATTTAATAAGTAAAGTATTTTCCAAAAGCACAAAAATAATGAAGCTAAATGCCATAAAAGAGAGAAAAAAATGATGAATTTTAAGAAATTCGGATTTTTTAATTTTTGATAATTTTCGATAATTTTAGATTTTTTACCAAAAAGTCGAGACTATTTAATAAGTAAAGTATTTTCCAAAAGCACAAAAATATTGAAACTAAATGCCGTAAAAAAGAAGAAAAAATGTTGAATTTTAAGAAATTCGGATTTTTGAATTTTTGATAATTTTCGATAATTTTAGATTTTTTACCAAAGATTCGAGACTATTTAATAAGTAAAGTATTTTCCAAAAGCACAAAAATAATGAAGCTAAATGTCATAAATGAGAGAAAAAAATGATGAATTTTAAGAAATTCGGATTTTTGAATTTTTGATAATTTTCGATAATTTCAGATTTTTTACCAAAGAGTCGAGACTATTTAATAAGTAAAGTATTTTCTAAAAGCACAAAAATAATAAAGCTAAATTCCATAAAAGAGAGAAAAAAATGATGAATTTTAAGAAATTCGGATTTTTGAATTTTTGATAATTTTCGATAATTTTAGATTTTTTACCAAAGAGTCGAGACTATTTAATAAGTAAAGTATTTTCCAAAAGCACAAAAATAATGAAGCTAAATGCCATAAAAGAGAGAAAAAAATGATGAATTTTAAGAAATTCGGATTTTTTAATTTTTGATAATTTTCGATAATTTTAGATTTTTTACCAAAAAGTCGAGACTATTTAATAAGTAAAGTATTTTCCAAAAGCACAAAAATATTGAAACTAAATGCCGTAAAAAAGAAGAAAAAATGTTGAATTTTAAGAAATTCGGATTTTTGAATTTTTGATAATTTTCGATAATTTTAGATTTTTTACCAAAGAGTCGAGACTATTTAATAAGTAAAGTATTTTCCAAAAGCACAAAAATAATGAAGCTAAATGCCATAAAAGAGAGAAAAAAATGATGAATTTTAAGAAATTCGGATTTTTTAATTTTTGATAATTTTCGATAATTTCAGATTTTTTACCAAAAAGTCGAGACTATTTAATAAGTAAAGTATTTTCTAAAAGCACAAAAATAATAAAGCTAAATTCCATAAAAGAGAGAAAAAAATGATGAATTTTAAGAAATTCGGATTTTTGAATTTTTGATAATTTTCGATAATTTTAGATTTTTTACCAAAGAGTCGAGACTATTTAATAAGTAAAGTATTTTCCAAAAGCACAAAAATAATGAAGCTAAATGCCATAAAAGAGAGAAAAAAATGATGAATTTTAAGAAATTCGGATTTTTTAATTTTTGATAATTTTCGATAATTTCAGATTTTTTACCAAAAAGTCGAGACTATTTAATAAGTAAAGTATTTTCTAAAAGCACAAAAATAATAAAGCTAAATTCCATAAAAGAGAGAAAAAAATGATGAATTTTAAGAAATTCGGATTTTTGAATTTTTGATAATTTTCGATAATTTTAGATTTTTTACCAAAGAGTCGAGACTATTTAATAAGTAAAGTATTTTCCAAAAGCACAAAAATAATGAAGCTAAATGCCATAAAAGAGAGAAAAAAATGATGAATTTTAAGAAATTCGGATTTTTGAATTTTTGATAATTTTCGATAATTTCAGATTTTTTACCAAAAAGTCGAGACTATTTAATAAGTAAAGTATTTTCCAAAAGCACAAAAATATTGAAACTAAATGCCGTAAAAAAGAAGAAAAAATGTTGAATTTTAAGAAATTCGGATTTTTGAATTTTTGATAATTTTCGATAATTTTAGATTTTTTACCAAAGAGTCGAGACTATTTAATAAGTAAAGTATTTTCCAAAAGCACAAAAATAATGAAGCTAAATGCCATAAAAGAGAGAAAAAAATGATGAATTTTAAGAAATTCGGATTTTTGAATTTTTGATAATTTTCGATAATTTTAGATTTTTTACCAAAGAGTCGAGACTATTTAATAAGTAAAGTATTTTCTAAAAGCACAAAAATATTGAAACTAAATGCCGTAAAAAAGAAGAAAAAATGTTGAATTTTAAGAAATTCGGATTTTTGAATTTTTTCGAATTTTTGATAATTTTAGATTTTTTACCAAAATGTCGAGACTATTAAATAAATAAAGTATTTTACAAAAGCACAAAAATAATGAAGCTACATGCCATAAAAGAGAGAAAAAAATGTTGAATTTTAAGAAATTCGGATTTTTGAATTTTTGATAATTTTCGATAATTTTAGATTTTTTACCAAAGAGTCGAGACTATTTAATAAGTAAAGTATTTTCTAAAAGCACAAAAATATTGAAACTAAATGCCGTAAAAAAGAAGAAAAAATGTTGAATTTTAAGAAATTCGGATTTTTGAATTTTTTCGAATTTTTGATAATTTTAGATTTTTTACCAAAATGTCGAGACTATTAAATAAATAAAGTATTTTACAAAAGCACAAAAATAATGAAGCTACATGCCATAAAAGAGAGAAAAAAATGATGAATTTTAAGAAATTCGGATTTTTGAATTTTTGATAATTTTCGATAATTTCAGATTTTTTACCAAAGATTCGAGACTATTTAATAAGTAAAGTATTTTCTAAAAGCACAAAAATAATGAAGCTAAATTCCATAAAAGAGAGAAAAAAATGATGAATTTTAAGAAATTCGGATTTTTGAATTTTTGATAATTTTCGATAATTTTAGATTTTTTACCAAAAAGTCGAGACTATTTAATAAGTAAAGTATTTTCCAAAAGCACAAAAATATTGAAACTAAATGCCGTAAAAAAGAAGAAAAAATGTTGAATTTTAAGAAATTCGGATTTTTGAATTTTTGATAATTTTCGATAATTTTAGATTTTTTACCAAAGAGTCGAGACTATTTAATAAGTAAAGTATTTTCCAAAAGCACAAAAATAATGAAGCTAAATGCCATAAAAGAGAGAAAAAAATGATGAATTTTAAGAAATTCGGATTTTTTAATTTTTGATAATTTTCGATAATTTCAGATTTTTTACCAAAAAGTCGAGACTATTTAATAAGTAAAGTATTTTCTAAAAGCACAAAAATAATAAAGCTAAATTCCATAAAAGAGAGAAAAAAATGATGAATTTTAAGAAATTCGGATTTTTGAATTTTTGATAATTTTCGATAATTTTAGATTTTTTACCAAAGAGTCGAGACTATTTAATAAGTAAAGTATTTTCCAAAAGCACAAAAATAATAAAGCTAAATGCCATAAAAGAGAGAAAAAAATGATGAATTTTAAGAAATTCGGATTTTTTAATTTTTGATAATTTTCGATAATTTTAGATTTTTTACCAAAAAGTCGAGACTATTTAATAAGTAAAGTATTTTCCAAAAGCACAAAAATATTGAAACTAAATGCCGTAAAAAAGAAGAAAAAATGTTAAATTTTAAGAAATTCGGATTTTTGAATTTTTGATAATTTTCGATAATTTTAGATTTTTTACCAAAGAGTCGAGACTATTTAATAAGTAAAGTATTTTCCAAAAGCACAAAAATAATAAAGCTAAATGCCATAAAAGAGAGAAAAAAATGATGAATTTTAAGAAATTCGGATTTTTTAATTTTTGATAATTTTCGATAATTTTAGATTTTTTACCAAAAAGTCGAGACTATTTAATAAGTAAAGTATTTTCCAAAAGCACAAAAATATTGAAACTAAATGCCGTAAAAAAGAAGAAAAAATGTTAAATTTTAAGAAATTCGGATTTTTGAATTTTTGATAATTTTCGATAATTTTAGATTTTTTACCAAAGAGTCGAGACTATTTAATAAGTAAAGTATTTTCCAAAAGCACAAAAATAATAAAGCTAAATGCCATAAAAGAGAGAAAAAAATGATGAATTTTAAGAAATTCGGATTTTTTAATTTTTGATAATTTTCGATAATTTTAGATTTTTTACCAAAAAGTCGAGACTATTTAATAAGTAAAGTATTTTCAAAAAGCACAAAAATAATGAAGCTAAACGCCGTAAAAAAGAAGAAAAAATGTTGAATTTTAAAAAATTCGGATTTTTGAATTTTTGATAATTTTCGATAATTTCAGATTTTTTACCAAAGATTCGAGACTATTTAATAAGTAAAGTATTTTCTAAAAGCACAAAAATAATGAAGCTAAATGCCGTAAAAAAGAAGAAAAAATGTTAAATTTTAAGAAATTCGGATTTTTGAATTTTTGATAATTTTCGATAATTTTAGATTTTTTACCAAAGAGTCGAGACTATTTAATAAGTAAAGTATTTTCCAAAAGCACAAAAATAATAAAGCTAAATGCCATAAAAGAGAGAAAAAAATGATGAATTTTAAGAAATTCGGATTTTTAATTTTTGATAATTTTCGATAATTTTAGATTTTTTACCAAAAAGTCGAGACTATTTAATAAGTAAAGTATTTTCTAAAAGCACAAAAATAATAAAGCTAAATTCCATAAAAGAGAGAAAAAAATGATGAATTTTAAGAAATTCGGATTTTTGAATTTTTGATAATTTTCGATAATTTTAGATTTTTTACCAAAGAGTCGAGACTATTTAATAAGTAAAGTATTTTCCAAAAGCACAAAAATAATGAAGCTAAATGCCATAAAAGAGAGAAAAAAATGATGAATTTTAAGAAATTCGGATTTTTTAATTTTTGATAATTTTCGATAATTTTAGATTTTTTACCAAAAAGTCGAGACTATTTAATAAGTAAAGTATTTTCCAAAAGCACAAAAATAATGAAGCTAAATGCCATAAAAGAGAGAAAAAAATGATGAATTTTAAGAAATTCGGATTTTTTAATTTTTGATAATTTTCGATAATTTTAGATTTTTTACCAAAAAGTCGAGACTATTTAATAAGTAAAGTATTTTCAAAAAGCACAAAAATAATGAAGCTAAACGCCGTAAAAAAGAAGAAAAAATGTTGAATTTTAAAAAATTCGGATTTTTGAATTTTTGATAATTTTCGATAATTTCAGATTTTTTACCAAAGATTCGAGACTATTTAATAAGTAAAGTATTTTCTAAAAGCACAAAAATAATGAAGCTAAATGCCGTAAAAAAGAAGAAAAAATGTTAAATTTTAAGAAATTCGGATTTTTGAATTTTTGATAATTTTCGATAATTTTAGATTTTTTACCAAAGAGTCGAGACTATTTAATAAGTAAAGTATTTTCCAAAAGCACAAAAATAATGAAGCTAAATGCCATAAAAGAGAGAAAAAAATGATGAATTTTAAGAAATTCGGATTTTTTAATTTTTGATAATTTTCGATAATTTCAGATTTTTTACCAAAAAGTCGAGACTATTTAATAAGTAAAGTATTTTCTAAAAGCACAAAAATAATAAAGCTAAATTCCATAAAAGAGAGAAAAAAATGATGAATTTTAAGAAATTCGGATTTTTGAATTTTTGATAATTTTCGATAATTTTAGATTTTTTACCAAAGAGTCGAGACTATTTAATAAGTAAAGTATTTTCCAAAAGCACAAAAATAATAAAGCTAAATGCCATAAAAGAGAGAAAAAAATGATGAATTTTAAGAAATTCGGATTTTTTAATTTTTGATAATTTTCGATAATTTTAGATTTTTTACCAAAAAGTCGAGACTATTTAATAAGTAAAGTATTTTCCAAAAGCACAAAAATATTGAAACTAAATGCCGTAAAAAAGAAGAAAAAATGTTAAATTTTAAGAAATTCGGATTTTTGAATTTTTGATAATTTTCGATAATTTTAGATTTTTTACCAAAGAGTCGAGACTATTTAATAAGTAAAGTATTTTCCAAAAGCACAAAAATAATGAAGCTAAATGCCATAAAAGAGAGAAAAAAATGATGAATTTTAAGAAATTCGGATTTTTTAATTTTTGATAATTTTCGATAATTTTAGATTTTTTACCAAAAAGTCGAGACTATTTAATAAGTAAAGTATTTTCAAAAAGCACAAAAATAATGAAGCTAAACGCCGTAAAAAAGAAGAAAAAATGTTGAATTTTAAAAAATTCGGATTTTTGAATTTTTGATAATTTTCGATAATTTCAGATTTTTTACCAAAGATTCGAGACTATTTAATAAGTAAAGTATTTTCTAAAAGCACAAAAATAATGAAGCTAAATGCCGTAAAAAAGAAGAAAAAATGTTAAATTTTAAGAAATTCGGATTTTTGAATTTTTGATAATTTTCGATAATTTTAGATTTTTTACCAAAGAGTCGAGACTATTTAATAAGTAAAGTATTTTCCAAAAGCACAAAAATAATGAAGCTAAATGCCATAAAAGAGAGAAAAAAATGATGAATTTTAAGAAATTCGGATTTTTTAATTTTTGATAATTTTCGATAATTTTAGATTTTTTACCAAAAAGTCGAGACTATTTAATAAGTAAAGTATTTTCAAAAAGCACAAAAATAATGAAGCTAAACGCCGTAAAAAAGAAGAAAAAATGTTGAATTTTAAAAAATTCGGATTTTTGAATTTTTGATAATTTTCGATAATTTCAGATTTTTTACCAAAGATTCGAGACTATTTAATAAGTAAAGTATTTTCTAAAAGCACAAAAATAATGAAGCTAAATTCCATAAAAGAGAGAAAAAAATGATGAATTTTAAGAAATTCGGATTTTTGAATTTTTGATAATTTTCGATAATTTTAGATTTTTTACCAAAGAGTCGAGACTATTTAATAAGTAAAGTATTTTCTAAAAGCACAAAAATATTGAAACTAAATGCCGTAAAAAAGAAGAAAAAATGTTGAATTTTAAGAAATTCGGATTTTTGAATTTTTTCGAATTTTTGATAATTTTAGATTTTTTACCAAAATGTCGAGACTATTAAATAAGTAAAGTATTTTACAAAAGCACAAAAATAATGAAGCTACATGCCATAAAAGAGAGAAAAAAATGATGAATTTTAAGAAATTCGGATTTTTGAATTTTTGATAATTTTCGATAATTTCAGATTTTTTACCAAAGATTCGAGACTATTTAATAAGTAAAGTATTTTCTAAAAGCACAAAAATAATGAAGCTAAATGCCGTAAAAAAGAAGAAAAAATGTTGAATTTTAAGAAATTCGGATTTTTGAATTTTTTCGAATTTTTGATAATTTTAGATTTTTTACCAAAATGTCGAGACTATTAAATAAGTAAAGTATTTTACAAAAGCACAAAAATAATGAAGCTACGTGCCATAAAAGAGAGAAAAAAATGATGAATTTTAAGAAATTCGGATTTTTGAATTTTTGATAATTTTCGATAATTTCAGATTTTTTACCAAAGATTCGAGACTATTTAATAAGTAAAGTATTTTCTAAAAGCACAAAAATAATGAAGCTAAATTCCATAAAAGAGAGAAAAAAATGATGAATTTTAAGAAATTCGGATTTTTGAATTTTTGATAATTTTCGATAATTTTAGATTTTTTACCAAAGAGTCGAGACTATTTAATAAGTAAAGTATTTTCTAAAAGCACAAAAATAATGAAGCTAAATTCCATAAAAGAGAGAAAAAAATGATGAATTTTAAGAAATTCGGATTTTTGAATTTTTGATAATTTTCGATAATTTTAGATTTTTTACCAAAGAGTCGAGACTATTTAATAAGTAAAGTATTTTCCAAAAGCACAAAAATAATGAAGCTAAATTCCATAAAAGAGAGAAAAAAATGATGAATTTTAAGAAATTCGGATTTTTGAATTTTTGATAATTTTCGATAATTTTAGATTTTTTACCAAAGAGTCGAGACTATTTAATAAGTAAAGTATTTTCTAAAAGCACAAAAATAATGAAGCTAAATTCCATAAAAGAGAGAAAAAAATGATGAATTTTAAGAAATTCGGATTTTTGAATTTTTGATAATTTTCGATAATTTTAGATTTTTTACCAAAGAGTCGAGACTATTTAATAAGTAAAGTATTTTCCAAAAGCACAAAAATAATAAAGCTAAATGCCATAAAAGAGAGAAAAAAATGATGAATTTTAAGAAATTCGGTTTTTTGAATTTTTGATAATTTTCGATAATTTTAGATTTTTTACCAAAAAGTGAAGACTATTAAATAAGTAAAGTGTTTTTGAAGAGCATAAAAATAATGAAGCTAAATGCCATAAAAAAGAAGAAGAAAATTGAAATTTTACAAAGTTTCAATGATTCAAAATCTTTTTAATAAAAAAGGTAAAAAAAAAGTCGCAAACTTGAAAAATAAATCGAAAAAGTCGCAATTTTTTCGAAGATAGTGGAACATTTTCCACTATTTTCAAAAAAATTACGACTTTCTCGATATCCAAGGCCGGAAGTTTTAAAAAAGTAATTAATTTTATGCAAAGTTGTCAGAAAAAGAAATTTGTTTTAATTAAAAATTTAAAACTAATTTTTTTCATGTCAACTCATGGATATAAAATAATTCCACTTTCTATAACAAAAATCTGTTTTCTGCACTAAAAAGAGAATATATTTAACTTATTAAAAAAAATACCTTTAATTCAGTGACAGTGAATTCCGATTCCTCTTCTTCCTCATCGCGTGGCGTTTGTATGATAAATTTCCGTTGACTATTTCCAAATTTAATCATATGCCCATTTCTCACTCTCACGTAGACATTCGATCTTATTCGATTGCCATTCCAAAAAGTACCGTGCGTACTTCCCAAATCATAAACATAGAGGCCCTTTTCATTCTTCTCATCGGACTCGTTTCGATATTGAAAAATTGCGTGATAACGAGAAATTGTCGGATTAGCGAGAGGAATATCACAAATTGGTAATCTACCAACGACGTAAAAATTCTTCTCACTCAAATCTATTGTCTCGAGAATTAATCCTGATTTGAGAATTTCAGCCTTGTAATTTTTCTCTGGTTTTCCACTCCAAATTGGCTCCTTATAGGGAAGGGGAATTTGTTTTTCCTTTTCAATTATGTTTCTATCCCTTGCATCTTTTTCTTTTTTTTCATCTTTTTCTAATTTTTTATCGTCAACTTTTTCAATATCAATCCCTTCTGTTCTTTTTTTGTCAAGCTCTTCTGGTTTTTTTTCTAAACTTTTTGGATCGTCTTCCGGACTGACTGTACTTTCTTTATTCTCATTTAAATTTAATTTTCTTCCTATTGGTTTACCTTTTCGAGGACCGACTAGTAAACCGGGTTTTTTGAAAGTGTTTTTTGATTCAATTTCAGAAGGAATTTCGACTTGTAAATCTTCTTCTTTTTCGTTCGATGAATCGTTTGGATTACATTCTGATTTTTCTGAACATTTTTCGACGTCTTCCTCTTCCTTCAAGGACTTCGAGGTACTTTCGTTACTTTTTTCGATGTTATCTTCACAAGTCGAGTTTTCCAAGTTCTCCATTTTCTGTAAAATAATTAATTCTGTAATGCTATAAAATATTTCTTTTAATAATTCTCATATTTATTTATTATTAATATTTATTTACTATCAAAATTAGGAAATTTCACAAATTTCAGAACAATTTTCTAACTTTTATCAAAATTATAGAATTTTACAAATTTCAGAACTGAAATTTGTGAAATTCCATAATTTTTATAAAAGTTAGAAAATTGTTTAAAAAAAACTAAGATTTGAAAATTGAAATTACTTTGCATATTTTCTGCTTTTCAATCACAATTCTGTTCACAAAATTATGAATTTCTTTTTGAAAAAGAAGAAAAATTTTTTATAAAATTCTTATTTCTTATCACAATTTTTTTTTTAACAAAATTCTCTTCTTCTTCTTTGAAAAAAAGAAATAATAATTTGCATCAATTTTATACAAAAATTTCCAAAATTAATCCTATTTATAAATCATTTTTTTAAAAAATTTAAAATATCTTTTTAGAAAAAAAAATCCCTATAATTTCTATTTGTTAATTACGATTTTTAACTATCGATTATTTTTAAATTTTGTTAAAAAATTTGCATAATTTCTATTTTTAATTTCTCAAAAGAATTCAATTATTTTCATAAATAATACAATTTTTTACAGAATTTTAATTATTTAAACAAACATTTTTTTTAAATTCAATGCAAGAATTCAACTATTTTCAGAAACAATAAAATTTTTCAGAGGATTTCAATTATTTAAAAAAAAATTTAATAAAATTCTTTAAAGATTTCAATTATTTAAAAAAAAAATTAATAAAATTCGTTACAATAATTCAATTATTTTCATAAATAATAAAATTCTTCACAGGATTTTAATTTCAATTTTTATTAGAAAATTCTACGAGAATTCAATTATTTAAGTTTAAAAATAAACAATTTATTGAATAAATAAATGTTTTTCAAAATTGAATTCTCATAAAGAATTTTATCAACAAATTTTTAAATAATTTAATTTTACGACGAATTTTAATAAAATTTTCTAGAATAATTACATTTTTCGAGGAATTCGATTAAAATTGTATTAAAAATAATTAAAATTCTATGATGAGTTTTATTATTCAAGAAAATAATTGAATCTCTGTAAAAAAAATTGATTATTTACAGCAAATAATAGAATTATTGCAAAGAAATTTATAAAAAATTTATGTAAATAGTTCAATTCCTGTGAAATTTTTATTATTTATAAAAATAATTTAATGTTTGCTTAAAATTTTATCAACACTTTTTTCTAAATAATTGAATTCTTTTGAAAAAATTTATTAAAATAGTAGATATTAAAAACCATTGAATTGAGAGAAATTTTTTAAAATAATTGAATTTCGGAGAAGAATTTTATTATTTCTGAAGATAATTGAAATTTTGACGATAATTTTTTCTTGAATTTATGAACACAATTGAATTTCTGCAAAGAATTTTATTACTTTTGAAAATGATTGAATTTCTGCAATTATTTGTAACTTCTCCAAAATTCAATTTGTTTTCCCCGTTTTTTAATAAAAATCCCTGACTTTTCCCTGACCAATTGCGTATATATATATTTTGCAAATTGCAATTGTAACATAACCTAAAAACAACGATCAACTTTCAATTATTAATCTTACTTGTTGTATTACGAAATCTTACACTTGACATGAAAAGCTCTTTTCAGGACGAGAATTTTTCTTGTTTTCCCTAAAATTAAGAACGAGTCTTTAATATTACGAACGAAATAAACTTTGCAATAACTTTTAAAGCGTTTAAAGCACTTTTTTCAAAACACAACCTTCTCGCCAGAGTTGTTTACATAAACTGAAAACTCTTCTAGAAAGTGTCTCTTTATGCGTACCTATTAATTTTGTCACGAACGTTTATAAAAATAACCACTGATTTATAGCACTGCGATCGCTTTTTATATTTGTTTGAGAATTTCCAAATTCCAATGGCGACGACAATGGCGTCCATTTTGTTTCGGAAAGTTACCACAAGGGGCGTGGTCGGGGTTTATCGCAATTATATCGATTATCGATATATATCGAAACTTAAAAACTTGCAAATTTGCAAAAAAGAAACAGTGTGAATTTAGCTTAATATTTCTGTCAATCATTCCGTTCTATTTATATAGTTTATGCCTAAAGGTATTTTAAATTTGTGAATTTTGTCAAATTTTGTTTACTATTTTATTTCTGTTATTTTGGTTTTAAATTACAATTGTTTTCCACCTAAATAAATAAAAATGTACGGAAAAGAAGGTTTGAAACTTATAAACGAATTAGTTCTCTCTGACGAAATCAAACCATTCAATGTAAGTATATGTCAAAAAACAAATACTATATCGTAAAGCCGTTACTATTTTCACTACTCTATTTTTATTTACAGGATTTTGTTTTTAAAAATGTTCTCGATGAAATGAAAACACTGACAGACGACAATTACGAACAAGTGTTTGTATTTCCACAATTTTTCCATCTTATCTTTTATTCAAGTACTTTTAATCCTTATTAATTCTCAACATTCTTAAATTGAATGAATTGAATTTTGAACATAACCTAAAAATTGTAAACTTTTGCGAACTGTCAAAATTCGCCAATTTGTCGAATTTTGACAGTTTAATTTTTCTTTTTTTTGGGAGAAACTTCTTTATTTAATTAATTTAGTTATAAAAATAATCGAAACATAAAATTTTTATAGAAACAAAATATATTTTTAAAAATATTTTAAAAAGAAAACATTTTTTTATACTTTAGTATTTTATTTATTTTTTTATATTTTATTTGTATAGAAACAAAATATATTTTTACAAAAAACAAAAAAAACAAAATATATTTTTTTTTAAAAAACATTTTTTTATACAAATTATAAACGTTTTTTTTATATTCACGAGAAAAAACGGAATTTTAGACGAACAGTGACTGAGGGAGTTGATATTCGCGGCTCGATTCAACTTCGTCACAATGCTTTGGAAAGAAATAAACGTCTTCTTTTAACTTACGTCAGTCATCGAATGGAGAGATTGAAAAAAATGAGATGGGAATTGGGAAGTATTCTTCCACCGGAAATAAAGGCGAATTTAATTGCTCCCGAGGAAAAGTGGTTTAATAATTATAATAAAGCATTGGCATCTTATATGCGAACAATTGGAGACGGAAGGGGACTCAACATAATGAAAGATATGGTTCCACCGAAATCACTTTATGTTGAGGTAAAAAATACCCTTTTTTGTATATAAAATATACATAAAAATATTTTAATTTAAATGTAAAATTAATTAAACTAATATTAATTCAAAGTAAAAATTAATATTTGAATTAATATTTCTATTTAATTATTTAATTTATTTAATTCTGTTAAATTTAATTAATTTCTTTTAAATTTAGCTAAATATGAATAATATGAATTAAAAATCAAAAAACCATGATGAGAGGCATAAAATTTAATGAATTTGCCGACTTTTTGCATTTCAGGTTCGATGCTTAGTCGATTATGGCAAATTTGAATTCGAAGACGGTCAAGTTGTTAATTTAAAGAAAAATACACATCACTTGCTTCCAAGTACAGAATGCGAAACACTAATAAGACAAGGTATTCTTGAACACGTTACTAATTAGATTTTTCTTCTCCAATTTAAATAATAATTCGAGTTAAGTTCAAAAATTATTAAAAACTTTTCGAATTAAAAAGTATTTTAAAAAAAAAATTACAACTTAAAATCAAGTTAAAAAATACTAAGTTCTATTTAATAAATTTAAGTCTAACAAAAAAAAATGTAAATAATTTAATAACTTTAAATATAATAAATAATAAATGTAAGTCAAAAGTGTAAAATTCATATTTTAAATTAGAAACAAATTTTTATATACAACAAAAATGTAAAATTCAATTAATTAAACAAAAAATTCATATTTTAAATTAGAAATTAACAAATTATTTTTATACACAATTAGAAAATTAGTCTAATCGTCGAATAATTTTGTAATTATCATTGATACTTAAATAAAATTAAATAAATAAATTATCTTCGTAGGTTAAAATTTAAAAAAAAAAGTAAATAAAAAGTCTTTTCCAACTAAAGATCATTTCTAAAGTAATTCTTTCAAAATTTAATATTTTTCTCTTGTTGAAATTTATAAATAAAATTATTCAAAACTTTAATCATTTTATTTTATTCAATTCTAAATCATTTCTTATTAGAAAGTTCCAAAGAATTTCATTAAAATTTTTCTGAAAATAAATTAAATTCTTTGAAGAAATATAATTAAAAATGAAATTGAAAATAATGATTAAATTTAAATAAACAGATTAAATCAAAATCATTTTAAATAATATTGCATTTTTCGCAGAATTGATTTAAAATTGTATTGAAAATAATTGAAATCCTGCGATAAGTTTTAAAAATTTATAAAAATAATTGAATTCTTGCAACGACTATTATTAAAATTAAAAAAAATAATCTCATGTTTGAGAAGAATTTTATTATTTCTGAAAATAATTGAATTTTTGCCAAGAATTTAATGAAAATTTAAAAAAAAAATAATTGAATTCTTAAGAAGCTTATAATTTTTTTTTTTAAATAATTGAATTTTTGCGAAGAATTTTATAAAAATTTCTTAAAATAATTGAATTCCTGCAAATAATTTTATTATCCTTGAAGTAAATTGAATTTTTCCAAAGAATTTCATTAAAATTTTCTGAAAATAATTAAAATCTTTCAAGAAATAAAATTAAAAATAAAATTGAAATATAATTGCATTTTTCGCAATATAATTAAAAATGAAATTGAAAATAATGATTAAATTCTAATAAACAAATCATATAAAAATCATTTTAAGATAATAATAATTGAATTCTTGTAACGATTATTATTAAAAAATTTTTAAAATAATTGAATTTTTTGCGAAGAATTTTATAAAAAATCTAAATAATTGATTTTTTTCGAAAAATATTAGAAAAATTCTATTATAAATAATTAAAATTTCTGTGAAAATTTTTTTTTCCATGAAAATAATTGAATTTCTGCGAAGAATTTTTATAAAAAATTTTTTTTTAAATTTATTCAATTCTCTTGTGTAATTTTTTATTAAAATAGTAGATAATAAAAATCATTGAATTACAAAAAATTTGCGAAAGTAATTAAATTGTAGAGAATTTTATTAAAATTTAAAAAATTTTTTCTATTAACTTTATTAAAAAAAAAATAATAAAAAATAATAAATCTCTATCCCTCATAACATTAGTTATGTGACTATGAAATATTATAGCATTATCAATAGTGATTAGAGACTTCAATTTTAACTCCAATTCATTTTAATTTCTAAATGAGAAAATATTAATTACTAATTAACCATTTTGACTTATTCTTTATTTTTAATAACTAATTATTCATTATTTTTACTGACCAATTAGTAATTATTCTAAATGAGTAAATAGTAATTAATAAATTATTTAGAATTAACAATTATTCATTATTTTGAAATAATTAGTCATTATCTTGAAATAATTATTCATTATTTTAAAGTAATTCATTATTTTGAAATAATTATTAATATTGCAAATTTAAAAAGAAGAAAAAAAGAGAATTGGAAAATTAGAAAAACATTGTAGAACATATTTTGAAAAACTATTTCCAAATTCATAAATTTATTCACAAGAAAATATTTTTGTTTTTTTCTTCTAATAATATTAAAGGTTGGGAAAAACTTGTAAGTTTCAAAGTCAGTATTGATTTTTGATCGTAGACTAAATTCTTGCAATCCTAAAGCATATTTTCGAAATAGAAAAAAAATTTCCTCATTCCAGGAGTTATTTTTAAAAAAAACCCCAACCGACTTCCAGGTATGAAAAATAACAAATAGTTTCAGTTTCAAGGGTTAATACTCTTTCTCTCTCTCTCTCTCTGGATTTCTCTGGTTTCTCTCGAAGACGACCAACAGACTTGAAATTTCAGGGATTTCCCGTTTGCCCCTACCATTCATTTATTTCCCCCTCTCGTACTCTTTCATCTTCCTCTAATTAGTTTCCCCTCTCCTACTTGCGCGTATACCTAGCGCCGCCAGTTAAAGTCTCTCTGCGTTGCGTCCATTCTAAAATATTTTAATGTTTTATCAAGAGACTACAGACTACGTTTCTCGATAGCATTCAGTTTCCTACTCTTTGCAAAAATCGTTGTGTGCGAAATTAAAACTCGAATTTCTTATTTTACTCCGAAATTTTGAACGCAATTCGTTTTTTCTTTTGCTCCGAAATTGTTAACTTTGACAGAAAAAAAATTACGCGCTAAAGGAGTGATAATAGAATAAAAATTCCTAACCTACTAAATTGTGTTGCTTGTATATTCTCGGTGGGAATTGTAAACTGACCTTCGTCAAGAGTTTTTTTTTTTTCAAGAACCATATTGTCGACATGTGTGTAAAACTTGGGGAAATAGCTCAGGTTTTAAGTGTTTGATTTGGAAAGTTTTTCGGAGTGGTATACGAAAAAAAGAGAGAGGGAAGGAGAGAGACTGCCTTTTTTGGGAGAAAGGAAGGAGAGAGAAAAGAAAGAAGTGGGGAGAGAAGGCCCTGGCATTGTGCATTGTAAAGTAGGGAAATTCCGAGACTCACTGGTTTAGAGTAGCAGGCAGAAAGGTAAGGCCCTCACTCACAGTTGTGGTATTAACACGTGCGGAACATTAAAATTTTCAAAATGTGGCAACAGTCGCAACAAGGACCCATGGCCGGTAACGTCTCATCATCATTAGATCTTGATAAAGGTGATAAGTGTCAACAACAAGATTTCGGTGATTCGGGCTTTCTATCGGGTACAAATTTAATTTTCTCCGAGGAATTTATTGAATCCTCATCCGATATTAAAGTTGAAGAAGAACCAATAGTAGTGCAAATTGCTCAAGAACCGATGAGAGTCCATGACAGTGGTTTAGATTTGGGCCTTAGTGAGAATCTCGGTCAACTCACTATCAAGCATAATACACTAAATTCATTGGATAAAGTTCATTTGGAACCATTGAGATTGACCCCGGTCAGTATTAAGGCAGCGCCTAGAAGTGTATTCGCGTCTGATAAACAACAATCGCAAGTTACTCAGGAACCTTGGGAAATTTATTATTGCCAAGACGACGACGGTGACACGTGAGTTTTCTTTTTTATTTATTTATTTATTTTGACTTTTAGAAAAATGAGTAAATAATTGTTTTTTTTCCTTAAAGTTTGATAGGAAAATAAGTAGATAATAATGATAATTTGTCTGCTTCATTAACGATAAGGAAATAATTAGTGAACTCGTTTTTAGTTTGGTAATTAGGGAATTCTTGGAGTTTTAATTACCTTTTTCTTGTTTTGAAAATATATATTATTTTCTTGCACTTTGTTGATAAATTTAATTTCAATAAGTAGATACGAGGAGTTTGTATTTACATTTTTTCGGAGTAACTCTGACATTTTATTTATTTATTTCTAAGTTTTCACTCGATTATTTATTTACTTCTTTTATTTTACTAACTTTTTATTCTATTTCTTATTCTATTTTTTTTTTATTTTATTCTATTCTTTATTCAATTTTTCCTACAATTTATTTTATTTCAATTTTTTACTTTATTCTCTTTATTTTATTTCTATTTTTAATTTTATTCTCTTTATTTGATTTCTATTTTTAATATTTCACTCTCTTTATTTTATTTCCATTTTTAATTTTATTCCCTTTATTTATTTATAATAAACGGGACAAACTCTTTTGTCTATTCTATTTTTTATTCTTTCTATTCTCTAATTTATTTTTCCTATTTTTCATTTTATTCTATTCTTTATTCTTTTTTTATTTTTTCTAATCTTTATTCCATTTTCTTCTACTCTTTATTTTATTTTCTTTATGTCAATATTATTTTATTCACTTTGCGATTTTTAAATAAGTAAAAAAAAATATAAATTAAAGTAAATAAATAGAAATACAGAAAGAAAAATAGAAAATTATTTTTTCTTTTGCAAAAACGAGGGAAAATTATTAAATAAATAATAAATTTGATTCATTATTATTAATTTTCTTTTTAACCTTTTCATTTTTCTTTCGGAGTAATTTTTGTCAACTTTTTATTTATTTACAAATATGAATTATTTTTGTCAAATTTATGATTTATTTCTAAACATAAAAATTATTTTTGTCGTATTTATGATTTATTTATAAATATAAAAATTATTTTTGTCAACTTTTTATTTATTTCGTAAATTAATTAATATAGATAAAAATTTGACAAAAAAATTCATATTTACGAAATAAATAAAAATTTGACAGAAAAAATAAATTTTTTCTGTCAAATTTTTATAATTGTTTATAAATATGAAAATTATAGCTATATTGTAAAAATTCTATTTGCGAAGGGAAGAAATAAAGAAATTACTTTATTGTTCGACAAGCCAATATTTGAAAAGCGACCCTTTCGAAAAATTTTTCCCCGCCAGGTAAACTTGAAACTATTTAACACTTTTCCCCAGCACATGGTTTCAAACTATTGTCATGAAAATTAACACACTGATTGCCCTGTCACGTGCCAATGAAAAGAATTTATTTCAAATTAAAGTACAATTGTCGCCATGTGTGTGGAAATATTTTTGGAATTTCCCCGTTTGCTCGTATAATTTTCTATTTTTCTTAGTTTATTGTTTTCTTCAAATTTTTCTTTAATTTATAAAATTTTTTTTTTTTTAAACAATTATTTACGAATTTTAAACAATTATTTACGATATTCAAACAATTTTAAACAATTATTTACGATATCGAAACAATTTTAAACAAATTATTTACGATATTTAAATAATTTGTTTGTTCTGTTTCCCAAAATTTTTTGATTTGCTTCTATGAAATTTTATTGTTTCTATTTTATTTGTTTTTATGGGATTTTATTCTCTTTAGTATTTTTTTCTCCTTTTTTTTAAATTGCACTCTTTTTATTAAATTTCGTTGTCTTTATTTTGTTTCACAAAATTTTCTTCTTTTTATTTTTCTCGTTTTTTAGAATTTTATTATTTTTTTCTCCCTTTTTTGGAATTAATTGATTTTTATTAAATTTCGTTCTTTTTATTTTGTTATTTATTCTTTTTTCTCTCTCTTTTTATTAAACTTTGTTATTTTTATTTTGTTTTTTGTTATTTTATTCTTTTTTCTCTCTATTTTTGGAATTTCACTCTTTTTGTTAAATTTCGTTGTTTTTATGGAATTTTATCTTTTTTTCTCCCTTGTTTGGAATTAATTAATTAATTTTTATTAAATTTCGTTGTTTTTCTTTTATTCGTTTTTATGAAATTTTATTCTTTTTATTATTTTTTCTCCCTTTTTTTTGAAATTAATTCATTAATTTTTATTAAATTTGGTTGTTTTTATTTTGTTTCACAAAATTTTCTACTTTTTCTTTTACTTCTTTCTATGGAACTTTATTCTTTTTATTTTTTTTTCTCGCTTTTCTGGAATTTCCCTTCTTTTTATTTTATTTGCTTTTACAAAATTCCGTTTCTTTTATTTGCTTTAAACTTATTTTTTTACTAGTTCTATTTGTACGAAAGATCTTGTCCCGTCTATAAATAAATAAATTAATTTATTAGTTTTGTAGTAATTTATTTATCGATAGATAAAATATTATACTTTATAATTATAATAAAATGTTGTTGATAAAAAAAATTTCTAAAGCCATATAATTTAAATAATAAATAAATTAAATTCCTTTCCATTAATTAAATAATAAATATTTTATCCAGTAATTATTATTGTATTATTATCAAAAAGAAAATTAAAAATCAGGATTAAACTGGATTATTGAGCACAAATGAATTATATTAATTATCCAGTGTAATCCTGATTTTTAATTTTCTTTTTAAAAATAATACAATTATTATTATTGATAAAAGAAATTTCTAAAGACATATATAATTTAAATAATAAAGATCTAAAACTTATAAATAAAAAAATTTAAATTCCCTAAGAACGAATAAAGTAAAAAGAAATTTTTTTTTTGAATCGACGAATGGATTTTAATTGAATTTTTCCCTTTTGCAGGCAATTGCACATTGCAGTGGTTCAGGGCTACATTGAGGCAACATTTTGTCTTGTTAATATGGTGCCACATCCTTGCCTCCTGGACATTTTGAATGACGACGGACAAACGGCCCTTCATCTTTCAATTTTAACACATCAGCCGAGAATAGCGAGGTGTTTAATTCTCGCCGGTGCTAATCCAGAGGCAAGAAATATCAAAGGGAATACAGCCCTTCATCTGGCTTGTGCTTGCGGTGATATTGATTCTGCACGAGCTCTCACCGATCCATTATCTAATGGTGAACGAGGTCTACATTTACCCGGACGCTTTTTACCCGCTCTACCTCAAAATTTAGAGCAACGAAACTATAATGGTGAGTTTTTTAAATTTTTTTTTCGTAATAATTTCACACCAAATTATTCACGGTCTAATTTCGATTTTAGTTTAATTATCAATATTCGAATTATTTGGAATAAATTTGAAAAAAAGGAATAAAAATATAAAAAAATTCCGTATTTAAATTTTACAGAAATTTCTTTTTAGGGATATTTTTCGTTTGGTTCGGTTTTGAAATATTTTTAATCTATATCAGTTTGTTGTAGATAATTCCATTTTGTATTGTGATATTTAACTGTAGAGCGATATTTACAAATGAAATCGAGTCTTTGTGATAGGGAGTTACTTCGAGACGACGAGTTGGGAAAATCCCAAGTGTTTTTAAAGCGTATCGAAATATCATTTTATGAGAATTATTCTGCTTTTTCCTATCAATGGAAAAATACAATCGCTCATTTTTTTATATTTTCAAGGTTTTTGAATCGTTTTCCACAGTTTTCGGGTCAAGGGAAGAGATTTTTTTTTGGTTAAAATTGTTATATTTCGATTTAAGAAGTTATAATAAGTAAATAAATAAATAACGAACAAAAAAAGAGTGAAAAAGTAATAAATAAATAATTAAGAAATAAAAAGCAAAGAAAGAATAAAGAAATAAAAAACAAAGAAAGAATAAAAAAAATAATAAACAAAGAAAGAATAAAGAAATAATAAGCAAAGAAAGTAATAAACAAATAAATAATAAAGAAACAAAAAATAAGTAAATAGAAACAAGAAAACGGAATTTTTTAAAAATTCCCAAAAATATTCGCAAAATTAGTAAAGACTTGAAATTAAAAAATCAAAAATCACTAAAAATATAAATATTCAAAAAAATTTATAAAATCGATAAATATAATTATTGTTCTTTAAATATAGTTTAATTTTTCATTTATTTCAATGATTTTATTTATTCAATTAAAGTTCTTAACTGATAAAAATAAATTATAAAAAAAATTCGTTTCGAGAAGATTCTACAATAACAATTTCAAAAAAAAAAAGAAAATAAACTTTATTTCCTCTTTAAGAATTGTAGAAAAATATTTTGTTTATGACGTAGTTAGAATTTCCTCAGCTGAATATAATCTCATCCGCAAAATATTTGACTCATTGTCTTTTTATGATCACTTCAAGATGTGAAACGTCAAGGAAACGTATAATTTTATTAATAAATATAAAATTCAAAAAATTTCTCCAAATTTCCCCAGTAAATTAAAAATATATTTACAAAATAAAATAATAAAATAATTATTTTTAGCCCTGGGAACTTTTAATCAATAAATAAATAAATATTAAATATTTAACTCTAAATTTATTGTTCAAAAAACAATGTTTGATTTAGTTTGGATATTTTCCATCTTTTCTTTATTATTAAGTATATTCAATTTCTAATTATTAATTATTTTTTAATATTAATATCAATAGAGTACAAATTAAACGTTTTGTGAAAATATTTTCCTTAAATTATCATTTTTTTCTCTTTTTCTTTCTAAAAACAAAATTTACCTGGTTTTTTAAATTACAAAAAAAAGAGGAGTGTCAATATTTCCTTTTACCGAAAATAAATAAATTAATTCCGTTTGGTTTACGTCATGAAATTAAAAATAGTTACTTTTCACATGTGTGAAACTGACTAGATTTATATTTCTATTCTGAATTTATTCTCGAATAGTTGAGAGAGGACAACTTTGTGCCGATTTGATTAATCAAATTTTAAATGTAAATTTATTTCAAATTTAGAATCATTCATTCAATTCCGAAAATAAAAATTTGTCGCGTAAAAATTTCGGTATTCTTTTTTTTCTTTCAATGAAAATGTTTCATTCTTTTTGTAGAATATTTTTCCTTGTACTTTTTATTATTCATTTTTTGATTTTTACTCTTTTTCTAATTTTTACTCTTTTTTCTACTTTTTACTCTTTTATTAATTTTTCACTCTTTTTTATTTACTCATTTATTTAATTACTTTTTTACTTATTTACTTATTTATTATTTTCTACATTTTTATTTACTCATTTGTAGAGAAGTGAAAATTTATTTACTATATTTTTATTTTACTCATTTTATACGAATAAATAAATAAAAATAAATTTATAGAAAAGTGAAAAGTAAATAATTTCATTTCTAGAGAAGAGAAAATTGAATAATTTAATTTATAGCAAAGTGAAAATTAAGTAATTTCATTTAAGGAAAATTAAAAATCAATTATTTTTTGACTTATAAAGAAAAAATTAAAAAACAAATTTTTTTTTGAATAAAGAGCAGAGACTGAACTTTTCACTTCACTTGTCGATAATACTGTAATAGTAAAAAGGCGGAAGAGGTCAGACAAAAATTATCATAGTAGCGAGGTCGCAAAAGAAATGAAAGTATTATAAAATGAATTAATTTTTATATTTGAAACTATATATGAAACGGCATCTGGCAACAATCGTCTCTCACTCTTCACATTGAAACTCGAGTTTATCATTAACAGTCGTTCCAAAACTTTCAAAGGAAGCATGTGGGAAATTCCCAACAGCCAGACCTCAATGCTAATGCCGTTATAAATGTATCGTTAAAAGTTCACTTCCCCCAGTTTTATTTATTTTTCCCCTCCCCCCAAAAATTTTGCCGTCGAAAATTATCGAACCTTGAAATTTTCAAATCGAACGTTAGAAGGTGATTTTTTTTTTTGCAAAAGTCAAAATTGAGAAAAGAAAGTAATTTTTTACTATTCTGAAAAAAGAAATAAATATATGAGTAAAAAAAAGAAAATAAATAAAAAAATAAATAAGAAAATAAATAAAAAATAAGTAAAAAAAGAAAATAAGTAAGAAAAAGAAAATAAATAAGGAATAAAATAAACAAGTAGATAAATAACTAAAGAAAGAAATAAAAACGAATTCATTTCGAATAAATAAGTGAAAATAAAATAAAAAATAGATATAATAAAAATAGTTGATAAAATAAATAATGAAACTTTATTAAATTTAAAATTTATTACTCGAAATATGATTAGTTTTCAACATAAATAATAGATGTCAATTAACAATTTAAAAATGTTGTGAGCAGTTAATTTGACATTTTCTTAATTGGCCATTCATCAAAATTGATCATTATTTTTCAAGAACATAAAAAATATTTCTGAAATTCAAGTCTCGTAATTCAAGATTCTGAATTTCCAAGTTTTTTTCTTTATGAACTCTCTACGTTGTTAAAAAGTTTTTATTGGTATTTCCAGTTTTTAAATTAGTAAACGTCAGAGAAAAATATGCAAAGCGACACTTTTTTTCATCAGAAAACATTTTCTTTTTTCTTGTAAAAGAAAAATTAGATTTAGTTTGAAATAAAAAAAAACAGAATTAATTTTCAATTCGAAAAAGGAATTTTTTGTAATTAAAGAAAAAATAATTTTTTTTTAAATTAGAACAAAAGAATATTTTTCAGACAATTTTTTTTAGTTTGAAAAAAATATTTTTTAGCCAATATTTTTAGCCTGAAAGAATATTTTTAGTCTAAAATAATATTTTTAGATTGAAAGAATATTTTCTAGCAAATATTTTTAGTCTAAAAGAATATTCTTTGGCGAATATTTTTAGTCTAAAAGATTTAAAAGCAAATTATCAGACTTTATTAATTATTTTCCCTAATTGACAAATTTAATATTTCTTTTCTAATTAAACGAACGATAAAAGATTATTTCAAGTTATCGTTTTTAGAATTTAAACAAAACTTGGAAAATAGAATAAAATAGAAACTTTTTTTCCTCCAGTGGCAAAAATTTGGAGAAATTTCTTTTTTTTCGTCGCAAATATTTTTTTTTTCGTTTTATTACTAAAATGTTAAAAATACCTGTGTGGCGATGTTATGTAGACACTCTTGCGGGATTTGGAAAACCCCACAAAGGCGTCGTCACCACATAAATGAACTTTGTTAATTATTATCAGTTGAAGATGATTTGTCAATATTTTTTTCATAATTATCATTTTAAAAAAAAAAAAAAAAAAAATGTTGCTACATAGATCGTTATTTTAAATTGTATACAATGAAAATATTCTTTCATTATAGGCGATTAACTCAATTATTACTTAATTGAATAGTAAAAACAATTTTAATATTCAATGAAAATTAGATCAAAAAATTAAAACTGTGGAAAATGAAAATTGAAAGCAAATAGATGAATTCCATTGAAAATAAAAATACATTTTAGTTTTGTAATTTGAGAAAATGAAAATATTTTATTTCTTTTGATTGATTTTTTACGAACAATTTAAATTTGAGTGAAGCAATTTTTTTTTAAACCAAACAAAAGTTGTTGAAAGAATATTTTTTTCTTTCAAATTCAATTATTTTCTGAATAATGTTTATTCAATGCAATTTTTGTAAATAATTTTTATTTGAATTCAATTTTTCTAAATTTCAAATTTGAATTGAAATTTCAGTTTTGCAAATTAAATTTCAGAATTCACAATTTTTCTAAATAATTTGTTAGAAATTCAATTATAATAATTTTTGTTAATTAAATTATTCTAACTTGAAATTTTCTGCCTAATTTGTTTGAAATTCAATTTTTATATTCAAAATTTTCTGAATTGAATTTGAAAATTTTTTTGAATTGAATTTAAAAATTCTATTAATTCTAATAATTAAAAATTCAAATTTTTCCAAAATTTCAAAATTTTTTAAATTGAATTTGAAAATTTAATTTCTTTAAATTCAAGGGGAAAGTTGAAATTTTCGAAATTCAATTGAAAAACTCAATTTTTCTAAATTATTTGTCTTGAATTTAATTTTTCTTAATTACAAATGGAAAATTCCAATTTTCTAAATTTTCTAAATTCAATGTTTTCAAATAATTTGCTTTAATATATAGATTCAAATAGAAAATTTGGATTTTCTAAATTCAAGTTGAAAATTTTAATTTTCTGAATTGACTTTGAGAATTCAAATTTTCTAAATTGAATTGCAATTTTTCTAAATTTTCTGAATTAAATTTGAAAATTCAAATTTTCAGAAATGAATTGAAATTTTTCTAATTTTTCTGAATTGAATTTGAAAATTAAAATTAAAAATTAAAATTTTCTGAATTGAATTGAAATTTTTTAAAATTCAAATGGAAAGTTTAAATTTTTTGAATTCAATTTTTCTAAATAATTTGCTTTCAATATTCATTTGTTCTAAATAATTCGCTTTGACTCCAATTTTTCTAAATAATTCGTTAAAATTTGTTTAAACTTGTTCTAAATAATTATCTCAGTTTAATTTTGTCAAATAATTTTTTTCCCAATATATAATTATAGAAAACAAAAATTATCAACTCGAGATTAAAAACCATTGAATTGCAATGAAAAAGCTTTCTAATTTCTTTTATTTCAAAAAAGGGGTCAGACACAGAAAAATTGACTAAGAGAAATTCCCGCAAGGAAACGAGGATTGAATATGTCTGATGGGTATTTTTGGTGATCAAGAGAGTCTATAGTAGAGAGAGAGAGAGAGAGAGAGAGAGAGAGAACTTTCATTAAAATGCGTATATTCACTTTCACGTGCGTGGTTCATTCACAAAAAGCCTTTTTGCGTTTTACGATGCACGCGCGTGTTTAAGTATTAGTCAGTTTGACAAAATCGGAATCCCAAAAGAGAGACGTCGCGAGTGCAAAAACGTTTGGGGTCGAAGTGTCTGGTAGACGAGGAGCAAAACAAATTCACCCCCGACGTCGTGGAATTTCGTCTCGACGTTCCTGGATTCCATTTTCTCGTTCGCCGGCGAAAGAGAACATTTTAAGTTTTCAACGACTATTTTTAAGCACGTTTCGCCTTTGATCAACGCGCGAGCCTAGTTTGGCTCATGGGAAACCAGCCAAACTCTCTTCCCGACAAAATGATTCACCACGTCTTCCGAGTTCTATCTATAATTTTCCAATCTTTTTCTCATTCTAAAAAAGAAAAGCTCGAGAGAGAGGGAAAAATAGAATTCCATTTTTTAATTACTAAATTTGTATTTTTTTTGCTAAAATTCGCTTTTTCCACTAAAATTTAATTGTTTTTGCCAAAATTCAATTTTTTTGCTAAAACTGATTTTTTCCACTAAAATTCAATTATTTTCGACAAAAAATTCAATTTATTTTACTAAAAATTAATTGTTTTTGGCAAAATTCATTTTTTTCACTAAAATTAAATTATTTTTCTAAAATTCAATTGTTTATTTCCTTTTTGTTCTATAATTATTTCCTGTTTGTTTTAAATTTATTTCCTGTTTGTTTAAAAATTTTTTTATGATAGTTTTTAATTTATTTCTTTCTTGTAATTTTACTTCATTTTTCTCTCTGGAAAAAAATCCATAAAAGGGAAAATTAATTCTTCAAAAATTGTCTATTGTTTGAAAATTGTATTATTTACAAATATTTTGCAGCATTGTACAAAAGATTAATTTGTTTTCATTGATTTTTATAATTTACAACATGCAATAGAACATTAAATTCAAATTAGAAAATGACTTTTGTGTTTTCTTTCTCATTAGTTGAAGTGAGTAAATTATTGTCCCCACTAATGACTTCTTAACACATTTATTTTCCAAAAAGTAATTGATATTTGTCAATTGTGTGCAGTTGCAACTGTTATAAATTAATTCAAAAACTCTAATTATACTTTTTCTATTTTAACAAAAAAAAAAAAAAAAGAAAACGTTCTTTCTTTTACTGTCTGGGAAAATATTTTTCGATATCTGCTTTTAAAAATATTTATCACTTTGAGTAGAAATTAAGAGTTTCTTTTTTGGCGAAATTAGCAAAAAAAAAAGAAGGGAATTTTAGTAAAACTGAAATTATAAAATTAAAATTGTTACAAAAAGAATTAATTTTAATGAAAAAAGTGTATTTTGGGGAAAAAATAATTCAATTTTTAGTAAAAAGAATTGAATTTCAAAAAGATAATACAAATTTAGTAAAATAAATTCAATAAAAATAAAATAAAAATAAATAATAAAATAAAAATTCAATTTTTGCAAAAACAATTCAAGTTTAATAAAAATAATTAAATTTTAGTAAAAGTAATTGAATTTTTTAAAGATAATTTAATTTTAGTGGAATAAATTAAATTCTGATAATAAAATAAAAATTCGATTTTAGCAAGAAAATTGAATTTAAATTTAAAGCTTCAGTTTTATCAAACAAAAAATTTAATATCGTAAAAAATAATTGAATTTTGGTTAAAGAAAAATTAAATTTTATCAAAACCAATTTAATTTTAGTAAAAAAAATTGTTGAATATTGGAAAAAATAATTTATTTTTAGAGAAAAATTTGCATTCTGATAATAAAAGAAAAATTTAATTTTAGTAAAAAAAATTAAATTTTGATTAAAACAATTAAATTTTAATGGAAAAAATGTTTTTTAAATTAAATTTCAATTGTTTGTACAATAAATCAAACTCTTTTTACCAAATATTCCATTTTTTCCGGTGAAATTCTATTGTTTTTAGAAAAATATAATAATTGTTTTTTATATTCATTTTTATTTTCTGAATTGAATTTGAAAATTCGAATTTTTTCCAATATTTTGAAATTCTAAATTTTTTATATTCAATTTGACAATTTAATTTTTCTATATTCTATTCTATTTTCTAAATTAAATTCAAAAATTTAATTTTCCTGAATAATTTTCTTTTTATTAGAATTTAATTTTCAATTTTTAAATTCAAATTTTGTAAATTCAATTGGAAAATTCAATTTTTCTAACTTATTTGTCTTGAATAATAATTATTTTAAATAAAAACGGAAAAATCAATTTTTAAATTCAAATTGAAAATTTAAATTTTCTAAATTGAATTTAAAAGTTCAATTTTTTTAAATAATTCGTTACAGAATTGAATTTGAAAATTTAAATATTCTGATTTGAATTGAAAATTCTATTTTTCTATATTCTAAATTCAATTTTTCCAAAATAATTTGTTTTAGGATTCAATTTTTAAATTCAAATTGAAAATTGAAAATTTCTTAATTGAATTTGAAAATTCAAATTGAAAATTTAAATTTCCTGTATTAAATTGAAAATTCAATTTTTCTTAATTCAAATGAAAAGTTTAAAATTTTCTAAATTCAATTTAAAACTTCGATTTTTTTTAAATAATTCGTTCAGAATTGAATTTGAAAATTTAAATTATCTGAATTGAATTGTAAATTCAATTTTTCTAAATTCTAAATTCAATTTTTCCAGAATAATTTGTTTTAGAATTCAATTTTTAATTTCAAATTGAAAATATAAATTTTCTGAATTGAATTAGCAAATTCAAATTGAATTCAGAAAATTTAAATTTTCTGAATTGAATTGAAAATCCAATTTTTCTAAATTCTAAATTCAATTTTCCCAAATTTTTTTTTTTAGAATTCAATTTTTAATTTCAAATTGAAAATATAAATTTTCTGAATTGAATTTGCAAATTCAAATTGAAAATTCAATTTTTCTGATTTCAAATGAAAAGTTTAAAATTTTCTAAATTCAATTTAAAACTTCAATTTTTTTCTCAATTGAATTTACAAAAATTTGCTTTTAATTCATTTATTCCAAATAATTCGCTTTAAATCCAATTTTTCCGAATAATTCCTTAAAAATTCACATTGTTCTAAAGAATTTTGTCAGTTTAATTTTTATCATATAATTTTTTTTTTCTTTTTGAATATAAAATATAATCTAATAAGCAAAAAATTTTTTCTATTTCCAGGTGAAATGTGCATTCATCTAGCGGCAAGTGGAAATCACGTGGAACTTGTGAGACTATTACTTCGACTTGGTGCTGATTTGGATGCGAGAGAAGGCCTCGCCGGTAGAACGGCATTACATTTAGCAATTGAACACGGCTGTAAAGCAGTTTTGAAATTCTTATTAGAAGAATGCAGGCCCAGTTTGGATGTGCCAAATTATGCAGGCTACACTGCGTATCAAATTGCCCTTTGTGTTGACACACAATTAGCCGTTGATCTTATAAGGTTTGGCGCCAAGCCTCAACCACTTTCCGATGAGGAGACAGATAGCGATAATTCTAGTTTAGAAGACAATGATGAAAGTTATATGTTCAACTTATCATCACTACAAAACAATTCAATGTCTGCCGTTAGGGCTTAAAAGTCTTTCCAAATAGAGATTCTTCTTTTTTTTTTTTGTTTCTAAAAATTCAAAAAGAGAAAACTTTAAACTGACTTGGAGTTTTTCGACTAATTTTCAAAATTCAATCAATTTTAATTTCATAGAAACAAATAGTTTTCAAACAAATTTCTAAACAAATTTTCAATCAAATTTTCAAACAAATTTACAATCAATTTTACTACAAAATTTACTCGAAAATTAACAGTAGAAAATCATTTGATTATAGAAAAATTTTAATTTTCACATGAAAAATTATTCAATACAATGTAAATACTTAAATTAATTGTTAATATAGAATTTAGAAAAATTTAATAATTAGATTTTAATTATTGTAAATATTTATTCATATAATTATATCATTTATAGAATGTATTAGTGATTATTAAATACATTATTAATAAATTTAATAAATTTAATAAATTACCTATTTAATTTTCTTTTCTTTTTTTTTGTAACAAAATTGAAAAAATAAACGAACCAGTATCAATAACAACCAGTACATATAATTATAATAATAATGTTTCGATTTTATAATTATTAAATTAAATAAAAACTATGTTTTTTTGAATAATTTTTCGCAATTAGAAATTATATACGATTTTAGAACGATTCACTTATATCACCGAAAAAGTGATTTTGTTCTCTTTTTAAAGTAAAAATCAGTTTAAAAAAATTCGAATTTACGTCATTTTTTTTCAATTCCCCTGTTTCTTTTTTTCTTTTTTGGATTTAAATAGGAAATTTGTAGTTAAGTTAGAAAAAAAAATTGTATGCGTGTGTTTTTTGTATGAATGCGAAACGGACAAAAAATTGTAAAAAGAATATGACGATATTCTTAAAACCTGTGAATTAAATTTTTTTCATTTTTCTAATTCTCATTACTAGAAGCTATATTAAATAATTATAAAAATTTGAACACCGGTTTTTTCAAGTGATAATAAAACTGAAAGTGTTTCAGTCTTAAAAATTCATCTTAAGTTTCTCCATTATTTTTTTTTTCTTTTTTATTTCACATTTTTCATTCTCTTTTTTTCGTATGGTGAAAAATCCATAGTTTAAAAAAATATATCAATCTCAATGAGATTTATAATTGTGAAGTATTTTTATTTTCTATTTTTCACTAACTTTGTATCAATCATCATAAACGTATAAAAATACGTAATTATTAAGTTTTTAGGGCAAAAATTGAAAAGTAATTCTTTTCTCGAAGTTTAAAAACAAGGAGTGTTCATAAAAGGAGTTTTTAACGAAAATATTCTCTGTATCGACGAGAATTACAATTTTATTGACTGTTACATTAAACTGAGAGACTTGAAAACTTTTTATCGCATAGAATTTTTCGATAAGAAATTAAGAATTCTTATTTTTAGTATTTAGTAGAAAATTATATTTTAAAATAATGTCATCAGTATTTGTACGTTAGAAAAAAATGTTTGTAATTTTTAAGTAATGTATTATATTGAAAAAAAACACGAATCAAAGGAAAAAAAAATGTTTATATGTAATATATTCTCTGTATTGATAAATTCTTAAGAAAAAAAAAATATGCATTTAATCTCGTAATTTTTATTTATTTTTTAAGTAAATTTAGAAAAATAGAATTTTAACAATATAACGAATATGAATGACTAGTGAAAAACTGAGAAAATAAAATTCTAATTAAAAGAACAAAAAATGGTTTTAAGTCTTTAATTACCTTAACGATGTCTTTTTTCTCTCTTATTATTATTCTTTTGCGTCTATTTTCTTTTTCTAAAATTTATTTTTCTTTTGCCTCTTTTTTTAAAGTCTACCTTTTACTAACATTTATTCAGAAAACTTAAGTGAAAATTCTATTAATTAATATTCTGATTAAGAGAAATCAGATTGATAAACATTCGCCTTATTAAAAATCTAGTTAAAAAAAAATCCATCTCAAGAAATTCTTTAAAATGGAATTTTTCTTAAACGAAAATTCGTCTAAATGGAATTTTTATTAATTGAAAAGTCGTCTAATGGAATTTTGTCAAATGAAAAATTATTTTAAATAGAATTTTTGTTAAATAAAAATTCGTTAAAATGGAAATTTTTAATTTTTGAATTTATTTTATTTAATAAAAAATCCATTTAAATAGAATTTCTGTGAAATAAGAAATTCTTAAAATAGAATTTTTGTTTTTAATTAAAAATTCATTGAAAAAAAACTCTTTCTCTTTAAAAATTCGTTTAAATACAATTTTTGATTGATAAAAATTCCCATAAACAGAATTTGTGTTAAAAATAAAAATTCATCCAAATTTTTTGTTGTTTAAATAAAATGTTTATAAAATAAAAATTCAATCAAATAAAATTCTTTCTCTTTAATAATTCCTTTAAATAGAAATTAGATTTAATAAAAAATCCTCTAAATAGATTTTCTGTCAAATAAAAACTTGATTTGATAAAATAAATAATTAAATTTTTTAAATAAAAATTCATTTAAATAGAAATTAAAATAAAGTTGAAAAAAAATTCGTTTGAATAGAATTTTTGTTAAATAAAACTTCAGTTAAATATAATATTTTCTTAAATGATAATTCTGCTAAAAGAAAATTCAGTTCAATATAATTTTTTGTTAAATGACAAATTTTGTTAAACAAAAATTCAATTACTTTCAAAATTTCCAAATGAAAATTATTAAAAACAAATCTATTTTATTTTCAAAAAAATTCAAATAAATTATTTAAAAAAATTCAATTATTTTCGGAAATTTTAATATCATTCTTTGGAAGAATTCAATTATTTTCAATTTAAAAAAAAATGTCTCGAAACAAATATTATTTAAAACTTTTATTATTCAATTATTTTCAAAAATTTTGATAAAATCCTTCAAAGAAATTCAATTGTTTTCAAATTATTTGATAATTATTTCGCAAGAAATGATTTTCATTACATTATTTTTTTAATTCAAAACATTTAAAAAAAAGAAAATTATTTAAAAAGTTAGGAAACAAAGAAGCAAACAAAAACTATAACTTTAAACAGCAAACAGATTTCCGAAATTTAAAGATTATAAATATTTTGTTAAATAACAATTTCGCTACCTATTCGAGAAATGAAATGAAATAAAAATTTAAAAAATAATTTCAATAAAAAATTTAATTAATAAATTAACGATTTTAATCATTCAAATAGAAATTTCGTTTATTGCAAAATTCCATTTCAATACGAATTATCAATCAATGAATGCTCGTCTTAAATAAATAATTAAAGAAACGAAAATTTAGATGAATATAATTTTTTTCAAATTTAAAAACAAAACGTTTAGAAAAATTGTTTTAATAATAATTTTTAATAATATTTTAATATAATTATGGTTTTAATCAAAATTCAGTGAAATAAATTATATTCGATATAAAGTAGATATAAATTTCGTACAATTTATTATTCTATATATGAATTAAAATTCCGGTCAATTTAAGAATTTAGTGTAAATTTTTTTCCAAATTTTTATTCACAAAGAAATTTTTCATTAAATCAAAATTTAGTCAAATAAATTATATTTTTTATAATATAATTTGTTTAAATGGAATTTTGTTAAATAAAAATCCATCTCATTGGAATTATTGTTAAATAAAAATTCGTCTCAATGGAACTTTTGTTAAATAATGAAAATTCGTCTCGATGAAAATTTTTATTAAATATGAATTAGTCTCATTGGAATATTTATTAAATAAAAATTCGTCTGAATAGAATTTTTATTAAATAAAAATTTGTCTGAATAGAATTTTTAATAAATGAAAAGTCGACTAAATGAAATTTTTGTCAAATAAAAATTCGTTAAAACGGAAATTTTAAATTAAAAATTTCTATTATTTAATAAAAATTCTTTTCAATGAAATTTTTGTTAAATAAGAATTTGTATATTTTATATATTTGTAATTTACTATATTATTTATTCCGTTCAATTAAAATGTAAATTCGTCAAAATTATTTTTAATCCAAATTCTGTTTAATGAATAATTTATCCAAAAGGAAAAATTCAAATTGAAAATTCGATTAAATGAAAATTCTGGCTAATAATAAAAATTACTAAAATCTCTCTTTAAATCAAAACTTCTATTAAAGAGAATAAAATAAATCTAAATTCGTCAAAATTATTTTTAATCCAAATTCCGTTTAAAAAGTAAGATAAATCTAAATTTGTCAAAATTATTTTTAATCCAAATTCCATTTAAAAAATAAAATAAATCTAAATTCGTAAAAATTATTTTTAATCCAAATTCCGTTTAAAAATTTAGCCAAAAGGAAAAAATTCAAATTGAAAATTCGATTAAATAAAAATTCGCTAATAATAAAAATTAAATTACATAAAATCTCTGTTTGAATCAAACTTCTATAAAAAAAAATAAGCTAATTAACTTGAAGTAATAATTTGGTGAGTTATAAAGAAATTATAAATTTAAAAAAATTGATATTAAAATAAATAAAAATTCGCTAATAATAAAAATGGAATTACATGAAATCTCTCTTTAAATCAAATTTCTATAAAAAAAATAAGATAAATAACTTGAATTGATATTAATCGATAATTATTAATTAATATTGAAAAAAAATATTAAATAATTAAATAACTTGAGTTAAAAAAAAATCAATTAATATAATTAATTAACAATTAAAAATTGATGAATACAAAAACTTAAATCATTTATATTCTTAGCTGAAAATAGAACAATATCATTGTTCCTCTGTTTGTCAGATATATTCAAAATAATATTTGTCCCTTTTGAGAGGCAAAAATTATTTTTGTCCTATATATTTTAAAGAATGAATTCTCCCAGCTTCTGTGCAATATGCGAAAAATGGGTCTAACACACATATTGCCCTCAAATAAATATTGTCTCCGTTCTTCCAAATGTTCGAATTGTTGAGAAAAAAAAAAGTTTCAAGAGTATATATACATATATATATTTATAATCCCTCTCTCACTCCAACGGATTACCGGTGGGAAATTTTTGTTTTTACCTGCCGTTGAAAGAAATGAAAAATTCCCACACTCTGTTTGTACAACCATATCTCTCTTATAAATACCACTCCATAGGCTAATCCATTGTTATGTCGCATGCGGGGTATTACCGGTATTAAATACGTCCTAACTATTTTTGTCTGGAATTTTATAAGAACCAGCAAAATTTTTCCTTCTCTCTCTCTCACTCTAACACTCCTTATGGCAAATTTT